GTCAATGTGTGCATTCTCCCCAGAGGGGGCGGGGCTTGCGATAAAATACGAGGTGGTGTCGGTGCTGGTGGTCGGTTGGGTTGAAGGACGCCGCCACCACCGCTTTGGCCGCTGGTTGAGGAGAACGCGATGCAGATTTGTTGTGGAACATTTTCACTTGGCGATCTTCTCGATCTCGTCCATGTCGTCTGCGTCCAGCTTTTGTATCTTCTTATCTAAAGAAAGAACGAGAGTGAGGTATGGTAAGCCGGGGCTACAGCGCTTCCAGGATGTCCTCCCCCCCGCCCCCCCCCCCCCTCACATCGGTAATCGGATTCCTCGTAATCCACAGGTGACAGCTTCATCCCGCCGCTCGGGGCTCCCATACCTCTCCGTGCAATGGACCGAGGCAAGATGAGCCGCAAACAGCGAGGAGGGCCTGCCTACCCCACCACCCCCCGCGTGTAGAGGACAGGCCGGGCTCACAGGAAATGAGCAAAACGACCCAACAGTGCCGTTCGTCCCTGAGAGGACTGCCGGTGTTCTATCAAAAGCTCCAACTCATCGAGATCTCCAACTACCTCACTTCCGGTGCTCGGAAAGACCGCAGCCCTGTACAGTGGCGGTGCGCATGCGCGTATAGCGTTTTCAGAATGCTCGTCGAGTTTGCCGCCTGCTGAATATTGTTAAAATGCGGCCGTGCAGAAGCTCCCGTCAGTCTTTGCGGTTTGCAGTCTAACGCCGTCTGGTCGCGAAAGCTCCAACTTGCAAGTACCCGGCAGTGAGGTAGTTGGGGATTTCGACGAGTTGGAGCTTTCACTAGAACACCGGCACTGGCCTGAGGAGGAAGTGGGGCAACGCTTGAGCATGGACAGGGTGAGGTTCTACCCTGTTGCCCCGAAAATAAAACACTGTCTTAGAGTTTTTTTTGGCTCAATAAAAAAAAAAAACACACCGGGTCTTATTTTCGGGGAAGGTCTTATTTTTTTTAATGTATAACAATCCAAAGTTAATGCAAATCCAAATAAAATAATTCAAAATGGCAAAGTTAAGAATAGGGTGATCAGGGCAAATCAGGGGTGCAATACCTCACCAAGAGCAATTTGCTAGCCAATCGCTGGCCAGAATGGAGTGAAGCGCGCTTTCACTATGGATTCCTCACAGGCGGAGTGCATTTGGTATCACTCCGCCTGTGACAGGAGCCGGCGCTATAGAGGAGGCATCGGCTTATGCGGCTCTGCTCCCTCCAGTGCCGCCTCGCTTCCTCTAGCGCCGGCTTTGTTGGCACCGCTGATTCTCTCCTGCCTCTCCCGCGGCTCTTCAAGTTCCCCCTTATGCCACCACCGGCCCTGGGAATGGTCACAACTAGGTCTTATTTTCGGGGAAACAGGGTATTAGAGGAAAAAAAAAAAAAAAAAAGTGACAATTCCCCTCAGTCTTCTAGGAAGTCGTTCCACGATATTTTGGAGAGCGTTGGTGGAAATTAAAGAACTATGAGGGGAGGTGCTTTTCACTCACCTCATAGTGCTAGCCGACCTGTGACAATGAGACCTTCACAGGTCGGCTCAGTAGATAATAGTTCTTCTTTAAATGCCCATTTGTGACATTGGATGAGAAGGCCCGACTCACAAATCATTCCAAGTTATGTTCAGTAGATAACTTTTGGGATGAATTGGAAGACCGATCTCTAGCCAGGTCTTCTGGTTCTGGGGTTCCTTCATATATTCCCGAGGAGAGCAGCAGGACAGATCTTTGCCTACCAGTCTTCCTCTGCTCTCTTCTCAGGGAACCCCAGGGGAGGAGAAGACCGGGCCTACCGTTCACCCACACCAGACCGGTCACAGCGTGTCTTCATGGAGCCGGCTTTGTACACTGGGGACAGTCATGGGGGGGGGGGG